TGGTGTGAAGCTTATTTTTAAAAAATAAAATTGGCAACTACTTGTTTTATCACTGCTTCCCAACTGGAGAATAAAGATCTGAGCTAGAGACTGGAAATCCATGCTCCAAATAGGAAATGAATCCAACAATACGCTTTTATCACTCACTTTGTGGTAGCATAAGTGGGCAGTTTAACCATGGTTCCCACATTATATGGCCACTGATATATTGCAGCAGTAAATGCATAACAAAGGCAACATTAGTCTCTGAACTAAATTAGTGAATAAAGATTTTTGATGAATTGAAAAATGAAATAGCAGGCAACCATCCTTCTCATACAACCCTCTGCTCCACTAAGCCTGTTCCACCATTCCAATTAGCTAATAATTGATCTGGACCTCGCTTTCTTTAGAGTAGAGGTGTTGTGTTCTACAATTTAATAGATATGTCTGCTCTAGGTAACTGGTTGTAATTCCATTTGTCACATTAAAATTATCCTATTTCTGAAGAAGTGTAGACAAATATGGAATGCATTGCAATATTTGTTTACAGGAGACCTATTTTACATTTAAACAACATAAAAACAGGGGGGAATTTCAAAGCTTTTTGACAAATCTTACTTCTGGCAAAATTTACTCAAAAGGAGACTAACAACAGGAGCCAACATTACTAAAGTTGGCAACATGAGATTTGGAGACAGCAAGCAGTCAGCACTGTTACACAGTAAACACACAATGATTTGACCCAGAAGTCCTGGAAACAAAGATTCAAAAATAAATACTAGGACAGTAAACTTATAGCAAGTTTCACCCTATAAGTAATGCTATTGAGTAGAAAAACTGAGAAATAAGCTACTTTCATTTACTCCTCCTTGAAAAAGAAAGTGCCCTTATTTTTCAGAATTATGGTCTATTTTACAGCCACTGTTATCAATTGACATAAATAATTTGGACATGGAAACCATTGTAATATTTTGGAATTTGCTGATGATGTTCCCAAACTAGGTGGGAAAGTAAATTGTGAGGAGGATGGAAGGAGACATCAGGATGTCTTGGACAAGCTAAATGAATGGGACCGAACATGGCACATAGAATATTTGTAACTTGATATGAAATTAATAATTTTCTAAGAAAAAAAAATAGAAAGGCAGAATATTTCTTAAATGGTGAGAGGTTGGCAAGTACAGATTTTTAAAGGGGCCTGAATGCCATTACTCTTGAATCACTACAAGTTAACATGCAGATGCAGCAAGCAATCAGCAAAGAAAATGGTACGTTGCCTTCACGGCAGGAGGATTTGAGTACAGGTATAAAGATATTTTGCTGACGCCTCACTTGGAGTATTGGGTATAGTTTTGGTCTCCTGATCTAAGGAGGGATTTGCCATAGAGGGAATTCAACAAAGGTTCTCAGATTAATCCCTGGAAAGGTAAGATTGTGTTAGATCATAAGACATAAAAGCAGAAGTAGACCATTCTGCCATCAAGACTGCTCCACCATTCAATGAAATCATGGCTGATGCGATAATCATCAGTTCCACTTCCTTAGAATTAAACCAGAATCCTTCATCCCTTGTTGCTTTAAAATACGTCCATGTTTAACAACCCAGCCTCTACAGACCTCTGTAGTTTTTTTTTAAAAATCCACAGATTCACCACTCTCTGAAAGAAGAAAATTTCTCCTCATCTGTCATTACTGCGTTAGATTATACTCTCTGGTCCTGGACTCTCTCATGTGGAAACAAGCCCTCAGAATCTTCCCTTTTTAGCCCCGAAAAGAACCTTACATGTTTCATTAAGGTTGCTTCTCATTCTTCAATATACATTCTACAATGAGTATTGGCTCAAAGTACTCAATCTCTCCCCATAAGAAAATCCCTCCATACTCAGGACGAACCTAGCAAACCTTTTCCTGACTGCTGCCAAAGCCGGTATATATTTCCTTAGATAGGGGGACCAAACTGTTCACAGTATTCCAGCTGGGGTCTGACTACTGTCTTGTAAAGTTTTAGCAAGGCTTCCCTATTTTAATCCTCCATTCCCTTTGAAATAAAGGCCAACATTCCACTTGCTTTCCCAATTACCAACTGAACTTGTGTGCTAGAATCTTTTGATTAATGCACAAGAAATCCCTCTGTGCTGCAGCTTTCTGCAGTCTCTCTCCTTTTTCCTTCCTGCCAAAGAGCATAACCTCTCATTTTCCACAATTACATTCCATTTGCTAAGTTTTTGTCTACTCACTTAACTTGTCTATATCCCTCTGCATACGCTTTTTATCACCCTCACTAACTGCCTTCCTACCAACTTATACATTCACTTTCTTTATGCAAGTCATTAGTATATATTGTAAATCAGCACTGTAGCTGTAGCACTGAGCCCCTTAACACTCCACTGAAAATGTGCCCCTTACCCCAACACTGCCTTCTTAGTTGGCCAATTGTCTATCCATGCTAATATATTACCCACAACAGCAAGGGCTCATATCAAATAGTCTTGTGCGGTACCTCATCAATCACCTTTGGAAATCCAAATATATTATACCTACCAGTTCCCCTTATTTATCCTGCTTGTTACTATCTCAAAGAATTCTAATAAATTTATCAGTCATGATTTCCCATTCATGAAGTCATGCTGACTCTGTTTAATTATGTATTTCTAAATGCTCTGGTATTACATCCTTTATAATAAACTCTTAACAATTTCCCCAAGTACAGTCATTGAGCTAACTGGCCAATTGATAGCGGTGTATTGTCTCCTTCCTTTTTGAATAAGGGGGTTACACTGGCAGTTCTTTAATCCTGTGGGACTTTTCCAAAATCTGAGGATTGTAGGAAGATGACGACCAGAGCATCCACTACCTTTGTAGCTACTTTCTTCCTCTGATATATCAGGCCAAGGGACTTTAACCCCATTAGTTGCTCTAGTATGTTTTTTTAAATCGAGTGATAGTTACTGTACTTATTTCATCGCTCCCCTTTACCCTTGGTTTTTTGTATGTTTTGGAATAATGAAGACAGCATGACAGGACCTGGTCTGTATTCTCTACAATTTTGAAGAATGAGGGGTAACTTCAGTAAAATTTACAAAAGTCTTAGGGATTATAATAAAGTATATGTTGATCAGGTATTTTCCCTGATAGATATGTCTAAAGCCAGGTGACCTAATCTCAGGATAAGTGGTAGGCCATCTAAGACAGATATGATGAGAAATTTCTTCACTCAGAGGATGATGAATCTACAGAATTCTCTACCTTCGGGGTTGCTAAAGCTCATTCGTTGAACATGTACAAGAATGACATTGATAAATTTCTGGAGATTAATGACATCAAGAGCTATAGGTATGGAGTGGAAAAGTGGCATTGAAGTAGACAATCAGCCATAATTTAACCAAATGGCAGGACAGCCTTGACAGGCTCAATGGCCTACTCCTGTTCCAATGTTCCTATAATGATAAGCAGAATATTTCTGACCTTGTAGTGAAAATACTTCTTGTTCAGACAGAATTCCTCACCTGCAAACCACTGTTAATTTAATCAATAACATGCAGCCTGAAAAGGTTCCATAGCAGAGCATAAAGGTTGCGATTTATTGCTAGGAAGTCAAGCAATAACGTAGGAAATTTGAGTTCCTAAAATGTTACAGAATTTTCTGAGGTCAACTCACCAAATCTGTTTATTGCAACACAACATCAAATTTACTCTTAAGACGAAAAGGTAGACACTGATTAACATCTAAACTATAAACCGTAACTAGAACTATATCCCCTTAATTCCAAACGCAGACATAATCACACAACACAAACATCAACTGTCTCTGCTGAGAAGATACATAAAAAGAAAGACAAAATAAAAAGCACTCCCTGTTGGCCAAGGATCCGTAAACAAAGGAGAGAATTTGATAACTCTTCACAATTCACCAGGTGTTTGTCAACAAAATCAAACTGCTGACAGCTGCTGATTGATGGAAGTTCAAATTGAAATATCACTGGATCTGAGTCTTTGGGAAGTGACCACACTTCAGTTTTACAGGGTTCAAAGGTATTCAGAAATACTGATATATATCAGGTTCCCAGAAACTACTGCTGAAAGAAAGAGAGAGACTTGCAGCTCCTGTGGTTTCCTTCATTATTGGCCACTTAGGTCTGTAAAATGGAAGCCAAATGCAGAAGGGTTGCTAGGTAATAATTTGCCCAAAGACTCACATAGTCTTTGGGCCATAAACCCCATCTCACATTTTTCTAAAAGATTGTTTTACTTTCTCACCTAAGTCTCTTGACTTTCTGTAAACAGAAAGTAAACTATTGTACACATTAAACTGTTGACTTTATTTCCAAGAAACCACATAGTAAAGACCCCTTTCAGTCCAGAAAATATCCACACATTTCTATATATTCCAGTTTTTCACACAGCCCATAAATAAAAACATGTATCCTCAACACTAAAACATCGCAAAATCAGTGACATGAAGACAGATAAAAGGATCCAAAGACTGAGCTAGAGGGTTCTCTCTAAGATGCTAAAGGATTTTCAGCAGCCAAAAAGATAGTAAGGAAACTCAAAATGTGGATGTGCAATATTGAACACCAGAGTAGTGTGACCTGGATGTCTCATTATTGCCTGTTCTTATATTATACTGATGTTAGTCCCTCTTTTAAGATGATAGGTTCTACTTTCTGAAAGAAAAAGGACTTTGCTCATTACCCTGTATGACTACATACCTCCAATTTTCCCTCTTTATGTGGCAACACCATGTAAAAGGCAGGCACTTAAAATCGGCATCTCTTTGTTCTATCACATCAAACAGTAGTGCTGAAAAGCAATACTGATGTCCAAATTAAAGAAAATCAGATGATACAAACATCGGGCAATTTGCCACCTGTATTCTAAGATGACCACAATTTATCCAATGCCATATTCCCTCCCATACATATGATTATCTCTCGAAGCCTTCAACCCAGGCAAAGCAAAACCACGTGTTATGAAATGTAGTACTTTTAAAAACTGCAAAATTAATATCAACATACCTGCTATCTTTATGTTAAGGTTAGCGTCTAGAAGCAAGTTTTCAGCTTTCAGGTCTCGATGTACAATGTTTCGACAGTGGCAAAAATGGACCGCTGCAACAATCTGTTTGAATTTCTTTCGGGCTTCTTTCTCCGCCATTCGTCCATGGGCTACGAGATGATCTATGGGTTTGAAAGGTTGGAGAAGAAAGAGGAGAACATGAGAAACATGAAATAAAAAAACCTAAGAGCTGAAATGTGACAATTTTTGGCAAAACAGAACACATTTTGGTGATATTTTCAAAAAGTACAGACCTATTTATACAAGGGGTTTATAAAACCATGAGGGGCTTAGATAAGGTGACCAGCTATAAAGGTCTTTTCCCCAGGGTAGGGGAGTCTTAGACAGCACAGGTTTAAGGTGAGAAGGGAAAGATTTAAAAATGACCTAAGGGGTGATGTTTATATGGAATGACTGCCAGACGAAGTGGTGGAGACAGGTACATTTATAACATTTAAAAGACATTTGGAAGGTACATGGGTAGGAAAGGTTTAGAAGGATATGGGCCAAACACAGGCCCATGGGGCTAGTTCAGTTGAGGAAACCTGGTCGACATGGACAAGTTATGCCAAAGGGAAAACACTCCTTTACAAAGTGAAAGGCAACAAAAGTTTTTGTATTATTCCAAAACACTTCTCCTGGTACCTTTCTCAAAGCTCACATAATGCTCGCACCAGAACTCGTGTACCTAACACTTCTGTAAGTTTAAGTGACTTGTAAGTCAAACTTTTAGACTGAAACAGCGCTATCTTTTACCTGGAGCTACCACATACTTGAGCTTCAATGTGCTCAGCTTAAATATCCACTTCATGGCTTTTTTCCCCCAATACTCTGGTCTAGGCCAAACCTAACTTTTAACTCCAAGGTGATCTAATTCACTAAATCTATCATTCCCTTCTCAGGAGCATTGCTACATACAGCCATCCTGTTCCGTGATCTTCCAGTAACTAATTCATTCAAAGTCATAAATGAACACTAAAGGTGTCTCAATAGAAAAAAGATTCCATACACATTAACAAATCTCTGAGCTCCCCTGATTAATCATGCTGGGTCACAAACAATTCAAAATAAACAGAAGTCCATTAGTGCACAAAATCCATTCACTGTAGAAGCAAGCTTCAAAAACTATTTTCAAGAGAAATTGCTGTTGAGAAAGAAATGGAGGCTGGAGAACTCCAGGAAATAAATATTGATGTTTTGAAAACAGTTCACATTACAGAAGCAGTAGTCCTGAAGGTCAGAAAAAACATAAAAGGTAGATAAATCTCCAGGACCTGATCAAGTGTATCCAGATGTTGTGGGAAGTTAGGGAGGAAATTGCAGGGCCCGTAGCAGAAATACTTCTATCATCTATAAACACAGGTGAAGTTCCGGGGCTGGAGGGTAGCTAATGTTGCGCCATTGTTTAAGAAAGTCTATAAGGAGAAGTCTGGGAACCATAGACCTGCGAGTCTGACATCGGTGGTAGTAAGTTGTTGGAGGTGATTCTGAAAGGTAGGATTTTCATGCATTTGGTGGTGCAAGGAATGATTAGAGGTAGTCAGCATGAATTTGAGGAATGTGAGCATGTGAGGAAAATAGTGATTGAAGTTTTTAATGAAGTAACCAAAAAGATTGATGACGGCAGAGCAGTAGACATTTACTTGGACTTTAGTAAAGCCTTTGACAAGGATTTGCATGGTAGACTAATTAGTAAAGTTAGATCACATAAGATTCAAGATGAGCTTTCCAATTCAATACAAAATTGACTTTATGGTAGGTTGGTGAAAGTTGTTTTTTGGACTGGAAGCCTATGACCAGCAGCGGTCCACAAGCGTCAGCACTGGGTCCACTTTTGTTCATCATTTATATAAACGATTTGGATGAGAACATTAGAGGCACGGTTAGTAAGTTTGAAGATGATACCAAAATTGGTGGTATAGTGGACAGTGAAGACGGTTACCAAGAGTACAAAGAGATCTTGATCAACCAGGTCAATGGGCAGAAGAATGGCAGTTGGAGTTTAATTTGGATAAATGTGAGGTCTTGCATTTTGGTAATACAAACAAGGACAGAACGTACAGAATTAATGGTAGGGTCCTGGGTAGTGTTGCAGAACAGAAAGACCTGGGGAATCAGGTACATAATTCTTTCAAATTTGCATCACAAATATAAAGGGTGGTTAGGAAGGCATTTAGCACGCTTGCCTTTATTGCTCAGATGTTTGAGTACAGGAGTTGGGACATCATGTTTGGGTTGTAGAGGACATTGGTGAACCCTTCACTGGAATACAGTGTCCAGTTCTGGTCACCCTGATATAGGAAGGATATCATTAAACTGGACAGGGTTCAGAAAAGACTTACCAGGATGTTGCTGGGAATGGAGGAATTGAGATATAAAAATAGACTGGAAAGGCTGGGACTTTTTTCACTAGAGCGTAGGAGGTTGAGGGTAACCTTATTGAGATTTATAAAATCATGAGGGCATAGATAAGGTTACTGACAAGTGTCTTTTCGCTGTGGTGGGGGAGCTGAAAACTAGGAATCATGATTTTAAAGGCGAGAGGAGAAAGATTTAAAAAAGGACATGTGGGGCAACACTTTTACGCAGACAGTCGTTAGTGTGTGGAATGAACTGCCAGAGGAAATGGTGGATGCAGGAACAGTTACAAAGTTTAAAAGACATTTAGATAACTTCACGAATAGGAAAGGTTGGAAGCGATATGGGCCAAGAGCAGGTAAGTGGGACTAGTTTAATTTGCAAATATGGTTGGCGTTGACTGGTTGGACCCAAGGGTCTGTTTTCATGCTGTATGACTCTACGGCCTATTTCCATGTTGCATCACTGTGATTCTACGTATAAATTTCAGGTAATTGTTAGAAATTTATCAAGCCAAAATGTTAATTTTAAAGCTATTTTTCTCTTTATTTTGGTCTCTCCAAACACCCTACCACCATTCTGTCATCTCCCTGAGCCAACACCACAGATGAACAGATTCATTTTGCAACTATTTTTGTTTCAACACAAAACAAAATTTAATGTCAGGGAGATGGAAAAAATCTGCCATGGTAAAGTTTTGTTGGGAAGCAAATCATTCACACTGGTAACATATTTCAGAAATGGCAAATATCAGTAAAATTCAAGCTCAAGACTACAGCAATGTGTGTGCTATAATGAACAGTACGGAGCAAGAAACTGATGATGTGTGTACAGATTCAACGTCCTACTCAGGTTGCAGCCATAACACAGTGAGACATCAGAGTTCAGACAGTTCTATTCAGCGTACAAAGGGAAAACTGAATGGTTCTTTTACCTAGCTGGGCTCTCATACCTCCTGGTCACTGTTCAAGAGCAATATTTGCAGCAAAAGGAAGTGGCCACCTACCAAGAACAATGTGCATTCTCAGAGAGTAGTATGTACTTTCAACTCAAAAGGCGGCTACAGTGGTGCCAAATAGATGACTTAATGTTCTATTAGTCAGTTTTAAGTTGTATATCCACACCAATTCCATATGCAAAATAATAACTGAATGTTAGTGTTTCAGGTGTTGATGACCCAGGGATGGTTGTATTAATTGCCAATTCATTAGTGTCTCGAGAAAGTGGTGGGCTTCACCCTTGAAACACGATGTGACGATGCTCCCACGATAGTTCCAGGATAAAATGCAAAAGTGTTTAACGAGCAATTATGAAGAAACAGTAATATATTTCCCAAATCAGAAGAAAGTGCTACTTTGAGGTCTTGGAAATTGTAGGTTTCTCAGTTGGAGGGTTATAGCAAACAAGCATGTTGTTGAAGTAGCTTTTTTTAAGTGGCTGATTCATCTGTTACAACACACGTGGAGCAGGTGGGACTTGAACCTGGGCCACAAGAGCCCCTAGTGGCTGCGTTATATCCTGTGATTTGAACACAGTGTAGCCAAAATAAGCCAGATATTGAGTCCAGTGGCAAATGGACCAAAAGTGAACTGCTCTGATCTGAATGACATCAATTTTCTTGCAGCTGCACCCAACCAGACAAGGGTATTCCATCACATTCTTAATTTGAGCCTTTCACATGGCAGAGTGTCTTTGAGAGATTAATATATGAGACAGTGATCAGCCTCAAACCACTCTTGTAGCCATTACATGGATAAATCAACTCAACTTCAGTTTTTAATCAATATAAACAATAAGAACGTTGATGAAGGGTGCCAGTGAACAGCAAGTGGATGTTGCTGGACTTTCTCTTATTGCAAATTGTATTTCGCGGCACTTGAAGAGATTTGCATGTTACCTGCCTTTTGTCAGCCCAAGCCTGGATTTTATCTAGTTTCTGTTGCAATCTGGCAAGGAACTTTTTTAAAATTACGGGAGTTGTCAATGAAGTTTAACACTATGGAACTTTTTATGAACAGCCTCACCCCTGACCTTATCATGGAGGGAAGGTTATTGACGAAGCAGTTCAAGATGGTTGAGCTAAGGTCACTTCCCTGAAAAGCTCTTTTAACAATATCCTGGGGCTGTGATGACTGAGCTCTAACTTTCACACTATCTTCCTTTGCATTAAGCATGACTCAAAAAGCTGTTTCTCTTTGACCCCAAGTCACTTTAGTTTTGCTAGGGTTATCTGAAATCATAGCCAGTTGAACACTGCATTGATAAAAAAAGACACATACTCTTACAGTCTCAGTGTCATAAACACTGAAATAGACCCTTCAGTCCAACTCGTCCATGCTGACCAAACTGAACTCCTCCCATTTATCTGCATTTAGACTATATCCCTCTAAACCTTTCCTATCAATGTACCTGGCTAAATGTTTCTCAAATCTTGTAATTGCACCTACCTCTACCACTTGCTCTGGCAGCTTGTTCCATATACGCACCACCCTCTGCGCGAAAAAGTTGCCCCTCAGGTCCCTTAAATCTTTCCCCTCTCACCTTAAAATTATGCCCTCTAGTTTTGGACTCCCCTACCCTGGGGAAAGACCTTAGCTATTCACCTTATCTATGCCTCTCCTGATTTTGTAAACCTCTAAAAGATCACTCCTCAGCCTCCTACACTCCAGGAAAAGAGTCCCATCCTATCCAGCCTCTCCTTTTAACTCAAACCTTCCAGTAACATCCTTGTAGATTTTTCTGCACACTTTCCATATTAT